ATTTAAAAAAAATATATATATAAATTGTATCTTGATTGCGAAACTTCTGCAGGTGCAAAATCCATTTTAAAGAGCTGCAATTGCACACTTCGCATCAATTTAATCTCAATCTATCTATTAGTTGTCTTCTTTTGATATTATTATTATTGACAACACTCTTAAAAAAGTCCTCTATAATCTCTCTACTTATTTCGTTGATAATTTATTTACATACTCAATTTGGTTAGTATTTAATTTGAACATTATTTTCTGTAATTTTGTTTACTAAAAGATGACTAATTTGACTAAGCAAATTAGTGGCATGGTTGATTAAAGTTTTAGATCTAACGAGCCTGTCTTGTCATCGACTTTACAACATAATAATCCGAAGAAATTTTTAACCAACTAAATTCAAACATTGGCAATAAAAGATGTTGTCCTATCAGACTGTAAGTAATAAATTTGATCAAATTTCTGCATGGATATTGTCCCACGTAGAAAGATGAGAATGTTATTAAAATAAATAAATAAATAAAAAACAAGCAACTGTCAATTTAAGCACGGAAGCATGCAGATTTTGTATAACGTGATTAAATTTCTCCATCAAAACTTCAAAGGAACTTCAGGAATTTTTTGACGAAGTACAAGGCACAAGATGCCCGAAGAGAGAAATATATAGTCGGCAGATATTTGGATGTACGACTCCGGCGAGGCTGCTATCTATGCTTTACGACCATGCTGTGACAGACTGCAGCGAATATGGTCGCCTGAATCTTCCCAATCACAAGGACCCACAGCGAATTCGGACTTTGCGATGTTGCACTTAGACCTTGTTTGATTGAGTTAAAAATTATATTTTTAGTAGATTTTAATAAAAGTTTATAAAAAGAATGGTTAAAAAAGTCAATAAAAAATTGTGGATCATCTTAAATGTGTGGTTGAAAATAAATTTAAAGAAAACGAGTTTTAAGAAATGGGGTTCAAATATGGGCTTAATATAAAGGATTCTTAGATCTATAACAAAACGAAAAACCTATTATTGATTTATTTAACTTTAGCTTAATTGTTTAATCTACTCATGACGATAGATTGATCCTTAATTGTCACGCCAAATTGGAAGTGCTCAATAATAGATAAGTTTTTCTGCTGACATCGTTATCTTAAATTACTTGAATCTTCTATATAATTTGCTAAAATTAAGCCAATAAATCAACAGACATTGAATGTAATGAGGAGGTAATGAGGTCACTTAATGGTAATGTTAGCATTGATGAAAATATTACGTTCCAAATGAAGTCACGATCCAAAATCAATCGCTCCTTGAACAAAGTCGGATGATTATCAATTCATTTTCAAGGTACTTGAGTTAGGAGAGTAATTTGGTGATTTTCATTGTACAAGTTGATGATTAGACTTTATATAAAGAGGCTACGGATGATATGGATGCAATGATCTATTAGACGTCGATATCTTGAAATAAAGAATCGACAATGTGATTAAGACATATGATTTTGATCAGAACTTTAATGAACCTTGTATCTATAAGAAGATACAAGATAAAATTGTATTTTTTTCTAGTACTTATGTGGATAATATTCTACTTATTAAAAATAATATGTGTGTGTCACCATCTATGAAATCGTGGTTAGCCCAACAGTTTCATATGAAGGACTTAGTGAAGCTAGTAATGTTCTAGGTTTCAGATCTTGAGAGATTGAAAGAACAAGAAAATAGCTTTGTTTCAAGTCTCGTATGTTGAGAAGATACATGTCAGATTTGCTATGCAAGTTTTTGTCCTTAGAAATCGAATCCAACTATCTAAGAATCAGTTTTCTAAGATTTCTAAAGAGATTAGGTATATGAGTAGGATACTTTATGCGTTGGCAATAGGTAATCTCACGTATGTTATACTGTGCAATAGACTTGAGATTTGTCATACTATTGGTGTGGTGAGTCGAGATATGTGTAATCTTAGAATCAAAATATTGAATGGCGATAAAGCATATATTTTAGTGCTTCTGGAGAATAATGATTTATATGCTCCTTGTCGGATCTTGTTTCGATAGGTTAAAATGATTCGAACTTCCAGAGTGATGAAAACTATCACATGTGGTGAGACATTATTTGGAGAAATATCAAGCAATCATGCATTGCTGATTCCACCCTGGGTGCCAAGTATTTGGCAGCTTGTGAAGTTGCTAAATTGGCTATACGACTTAGAAAATCCTTTTGGATATCGAGGTGGTGCCTATATCTGCACCGTCCTTTACATTGTATTAAGATTATAGTAGGACTATTGCAAATGTTAAAGAACCAAAAGTTATTTGGGGTAAACACATTGAATAAAAATATCATCTATTAAAAGAGATGGCAGAGAAAATGTGGTTGTCAATAAAATTGCTATTGGGATGAAGTTGCACACTCGTTTACTAAAAGCCTGTTGGCTAAGATTTCCGAGGGATATTTGCAAGACACATATACTCAAGGCAGGGCACGTAGAAGTTTTTCAGATTGTGCGCCATATTATATATTATGCTAGGATAAAATGATAATTTATAATAAATAAATTGTGATTTTATTTATTTATTATTGAGTATGCGAATTAAAGTGCCTATGATAATTTATGAGAATATAAGTTGGGTACTTCCGTAGATAAGTACAGTGTGATACAACTTATATTTTGATGATAATTATTTGTTCACAATCAATGTAAAAAGGGTTGGTTTCTTGTACTGGAAGATTGTAGTATTAATCGATTCACTATTGAAGTTTGTGATTTGTCATTTTCACAAAAATAATTAAATGTGACATTAGTATACTTAGAGTGTATTGAACGAACCACAGGTCGAGTTTTAATTCTATAGCATGATCATGCGGAGAATCAAATTTTATTTGATCGCTGTGTATTTCATCTATATCTATTGATAGTGTTAAGTATATTTTTTCGTGATTTTAATGGTTTTTTGATTCGTTAATGGGTGAGATCAATTGGATTAGTCAAATATTTTAATGAGTTGGAAACTTGAGAATGAGTGAAGTAGGGAACATAATTTGTGTCGGGAATCGTCATCCTATAAAATGGATAGAGTGACTACTTAAATATTTTTTTGTAGAATGGTTAAAATTAGAGTTAGCAACGGTTAAATTTCGATATCTATTATTAGTTCACATGACCGCTGAAGAAAATGATGCTTAAGTTAGTGAGAATAATTATGAGGGTAAAATGGTCATTTATTCTCGTACCTAATTATCGGATCTCGAATGAGAATGAAATATATATGCGGCAAGTCAGAGGAAAATATTACGAGTTTACTGACTTTATGATCTTATAAATTTTGAGAGTTCAATCTTTTACCTTTAGTAAAAAAACAAAGATTAATAATTTGATTAGGTGTTCTAGGATCAACTAGACATGATTTAATTATTGGTGCTTGGATAATATATGACCGATCAAGTCCCTTTGTATCTCCAGAAAGTATTGAAATTTAATTACGAGAATTATATTAGTTTTGGGCTTAATTGTAATTACTATAAATGTTGTAAACTTAATTATAATTGTAATTTAAGTTCTAGGACTACACATGTAATTAAATGTAAACTAATTGTATTTGAACTTTAATTGAAAATCCTATTTGGATTTTAATTGAAACTTTTATTTGAATGTAGAATTATTATTGTACAATGAATGTAACTATTCTCTCTATAAACACAAATTCAATGGAAATTAAACATCCTATGGGTTTGTACAACAATCATAATTCCATAGTGTTCAAATTTGAAGAGAAATAATAATAATAATAATAATAATAATTCATTTTATTCAATTGTCCAGTTCAAGAATTAATTTTTTGTTTAATTAAAAGAAGGTGCCCATCCACAAATGTACTATTGAGTTTGGAGAATATCATAAGAGATTTAGATGTTTAAAATATCAAGTTCTTGGATTTAAAAAGTTGAAAGTTCGTGATTCAGAGTAAATTAAAGAATTAGTCATCGAATTTAAGTAATAATTTGAATCCTTTATTCTTTATATAACATACGCATGAACATTTAGACGATATTTTTTATTGAATTAAAGAAATTTTTAATTTCTGAATAATTCCGCTTCCAAATTCCCACCCTCATGACAATAGATTGATTATAAATTGTCACTCCAAATTTAAAGTAATCAGTAATAGATTACTTTTAAGATGAACATTGCTTAAATCACTTGAATCTTCTATAAAATTTTGCTTAAATTAAGTTCTTTCTTTAGTCGTACTTATGTCAAATAAAATTAAGACCTTGCAAAATATAGTAGAATAATAATTAATTAAGATTATAGTGAAAAATATTTGACAGTATGATTGTCATAAACCTCTCTAAATTCATTCAAATAAATTGAAATATTTCATATGAAAATTGGAAATTCTATCAATCAAAAGTCAATTTATGAAAATTAGATATCAAGTCATAAATCTTATTTTTCGTTTTTATGATGTTATAAATCTTAAATTTGTAGTTTTCTATACATGCATAGATAACTAAAGATTTAAAAGTTTGTTCTGTATCTTTTCTGATTTAATTTAATAGTTTGTGTTGCCTCATGCTTAATCTAAAAGATTATTATGGTTTTCTCGCCTGTTGATGCAAAATCTTTGTTCCTGCATATCCAGTTTTGGGTGCAAACATGGCAGAATTAATTGGTAATCATACGTGACACTTCAAGGAGGTTGACTGTAGGCCATATCGAACGGATCATGTCCTCGTAATGAATGACAATACTAAGTTCTATAAAAATTTTCAATTGATCAAGCTTCAATTTTAACATTTCATTCGCAAGGCCCCAACTTTTCAATCACATATTTCATCAACTTTTATCAAAATCTCCTAAAACTTTTATCAACAACTTTGTCAAACCACCCATAAATTTGAGGTCTGAAAAACTCCGTGATTTCTATTATTTTCGGGTATGCTTGATAATTCATTCCACCAATGTGCAGAATGTGAGTGCGTGAGAGAGAGCGCGAGAGGGAAGGAAGGAGAGAGAACTCAGTTTAACTCATCACCAATTACTCAAAATGGTATCAAGGGTTAACAGTATAGAAATATTTTCTTTCCTGAAAACTATAGCCCAAAAAAAAAGAAAAAAGAAGGGATTTGAATCCTGAAAAGAGAAAGGGAGAATCCAGTTCTACATGAGTGGGAATCTTCTGTCATAGCATGTCAACGAGCTTTAATGGAATTCAAGAATTGACCCGAAAATTTCCTAACTGCAGCACAACTTCTGGCACTGGTTAGTTCCACAACAATGCTTCATTTCTACCGGAAAAAATGGCACTACCTTTTCACATGCCGTCACTGATCTTGGAGGATTATGGAGAACTGCAGTTTTAACTGGAACTAATACTCTTATGCTCTTTTGACCTATTCTGAAACATTACACGTACATTATTCCCATAGAGTGCGGATCATACTGCTTCAGAGTTCATTTCCTTGGGCAATACCAAACCAATTAAGCAAAGTGAAGGATTAGGGGGAATAGACAGCATGGAACATGTATCAGGTGAGTATGGAAGAATGAACAGTAGTCTAGGCCACAACGGTTCTGCAGCTGGGATTTTGATTACTCCTGCACATTCTCGCTGCTTCAAGTATGCAATGAAATCTTGAAACTGTAAAATGCGAAAATAAATCAAATCACTTCAATATAAGTCTCAAAATCATAATTGAGACACCAGTAGCACATTATTGCACGTAGAATAAGGCCTCTAATGGTAAAACCATGCAATGTAATGTTGATTACAGCAATCTGCAAGATTAGTCAGTGTTACAGGTAACAATTGTTATGCCAAAGAGAAAATAACGCTTTCTACCTCCAGAGGCAGCTCACATTGCGATGACATTGAGAAGTGAGAAGCTAGTAAATTTGCATTTTAGCATTAACTTGGATCCTTTACATCCCAAAGCAAAACAAGGACTGGTATTTTACATGACCATTTTCTTTCTTGAACATATCCTTCAATCTTCTACAGGTACTGTTCTAAGTATGGTCACTAAGAAAAAAAGAGCTTCTTTCCGGACCTGAAGTTTATTTTCTACACAGAAATATGGATTTTAGTTCCTATATATTTTAAAAATAAAATGGATGAGAGTAGATTAGCCAGTGACAAATATGTCAATCAGTAGCACTCTCTGGTGCTTGCTCAATAAAAAAAAATCAGTAACAGAAAAGGAGCAACAAAAAATACTTGGATCTACTTGCACCATTGTGCTACGCCACATCAAGCCATGTGTATAAAAAAAGAACGGATAATAGTAGGGTCAACTTACACCCTTGTGATCGCCTTGAGAAGAAGGGAAAAGCCAGCATATCTCTCTCTGACACAGCAGATTTAAACAAAGTCAGAATTTGAGCAATCCAGTTCAAATTGGTTGAAACTTGGGAGCAAAATTCATTGAACAGATAGCAGATAGGTGATGTACACTACCAAGTTAGAACAGGTATTACTTCTCTTTAGCCATATAACATTTAGGACAACAAATCCAATAATTTTATTCCAGATGCAAAGGAATTATCTCATTTCTATGCAATCACTCTATCCCACTGATTTCTATAAAGGGAATCAAGATGATAAAACTAACTGGTCATTTGAGGAACATATTTTATGGTTAACAAAATTTTTGAATGATATCTTAAAAGAGTAAAAAGATGCTACATGAATGAAGTTAATGCCGATTTATATAAACAAAGAAGATATCCAAGACTATACAAACTTAAGTTTACGGTTGCTAGAGGAAAACCTGGGGCATAGTTCAAAGGTCTGAAATGACTAGTTTGGCTCATTCAAGGGAGAAATAATATGGAAGTCATTTACATACTTCAAACATTGGTGGAGAAGTACCACACAAAAAAAAATAAATAAATAAATAAAGAAAAAATAAAAAATAAAAAAATACAGTCATAATTTTTTTTTTTTTTTTGACTTCCAAAAACCCTATGATAGAGGCAGTGCTCATGGAAGTGCCCATATTGATATATATTAAGGTGTAAAATGGAGAAGTCGCAGGTTTGAATGGTAGAGAATTTCTAATTTTTTTCCCAGTGTCCATATCATTATGCACTGGTCAACGTTTGAAGTTACAAGACATCCAAGATGAAGTCTCTTGGTATATGCTATTTGCTTATGACATAATTTTAACTGAAGAGAATTGAAGGGAATAAATTATAAGTCAGATATTTGAAACATTACTTTGAAATCTAAATCTTTAAGGTTAAGTAGAATTATAATGAATACATAGAATGTCCTAGGGTTACAAATGCTAGTGGACTCACTACCAAGGATCATGTCAGTTGTACCACAGAGATTCCTTTAGCAATTTAAGTTCAATTACTAATAAGAAAGGAAGACTTTAAGACAGTGTCTTGCTTTAGGATTGGAGCATGGGGTTTCCCACATTTTCAACACGTGCAGATGTGCAAGTTGTGTGTACCCGTACATGTCCAGTCCATGAAACGACTTCTGACTTCAGCATAACTATAAATGCAAATTAATGGCTCCACATCTATTGATGACAAAGGAAAAAAAAAAACTATGCTGATGTAAGATGCATAAACCTTCAAAATCCCAATGACCTAGATTTGATTATTGTATTGTTTCTTTTTATCCAACAATATGCATCCCTGTATTACATTTGCTACTTTATTGAAAGTAATACAGCTACCCTCCCCCCACCCCAAAACCCAACCCTCCACCAAACTCCCCACATATACACAAAGACACATTATAGGGACATCATAACTAATGAAATGTCAAATGTCTTTATTATGCCTCTATTTATTTTATGATTACAGGAAAGTTGAAATTCTTCCTCAGTTGTTCCAAACAGCAAAACACCAAATCCTGTGCTTTAGAGCAGGCAATAATGCCACAAGTGCCAAATATACTAGAGCATTTCCCCATCCCACCAGAGCCAAATTCATAAATTGACAATAACCTTCAGTTAATTAGAGCAACAACCAAGTACATATAAATTGATCACCCAATTAAGATGTTATCTTACTAGATCATAAAGCACATAATTCCTTGTCACATCACTCCCAAGTAATTGTCAATGTTGGCTTCAAAAGGCTTAGAAATGATTTGGTGAAATTGATTCTGAAGCCAATTAGAGAAAAGAGGAATGTCCTCCCTGGATCAGATGAACATGTCATAGAACTATTGACCTCTAGTTACACCAGCACGTGCCACTAATTTGCAAGTAGAACAAATTATTCTAAAAAGTAATTGTCAGGTCTTGACACAACTTTATCACATATGTCATTTCACTAACGCAATATAACTCTTCCAAATATCATGAAATTTAAATACTGATAACCAGTTAACAATTGTGGATTCTGGGGATGATACACTTGTTTGAGCCCCATTTTTTGCAAAAATAGATTTTGCGCTAGTGATTTTTCTGAAGAGTGTGGGATTAAAATGTAGGAAAAAGTTCTGGGTCTACGTGTAAAATTATTTTATTGAAAATGACTTTGGAGGAAACATTAGTTTTTAAATAATGGAACTCAAACATAGGCTAAACGTAAAGCTTTCCTAGACGAAAATTTAACTGCAAATTTCTAAGACAAGAAAGTGAAAACTAAAAGTCAATTGGGTGAGCCCATGATAATTTGAGAGGCATGTTATTTTGAGAGAACAAACAAAACACAGAGAGAGAGAGAGAGAGAGAGAGAGAGAGGTGATTCACTCTGTGAGGTGGGGTACTGGAAAAAGTTGACTTCACATGCCGGAAATCAGTGCGTTTTGTCATATCCAATTTAGCAGGCCATCTGCAAATGCATCATCAAAAAATTATCAGAAATTATCTCTTTCTAGCCCAGTCCACAGAAAGATCAACTAGAAAAAAATAAAATAAATAAATAATAATAAAGTCCTTACCCTAATGGCTCAGCCATAGCATTTGAATAGTTGCAAATATCAGAATCCACCCTCTGTGCATATATGGTGCAGTAATTAACACTACTTTTGCTTAAGATCCCCTGCCAGGGATAGCGCTGGCCCAACTTAGAACATTCTGTATCAGCAGATTCAGATGGTGGAGGTGGAGGTGGAGGAGGAGAACTAGGAGGAGGAAGTGCAGGGGGCAAGGAACAGGCTGGAGGAGGTGGGGATGGAGGTAATGGAGGCTGAAAATCAAGCTGTGAAGGTAATGGAGGCTGCAAGTTGGGCTGGCGAGGTAATGGAGGAGGCACGTTAGATGGAGGAGGTGCCAAAGATGACAATGGAGGAGGAACACCATTGAGAGGAAACATATTATTAAATTGTGGCATAGAACTTCCCTGTATCTGTGCCAGTGGAGTCACGGAAGCAGATAAAAATGGCGGGGCAGGCAGATTATGGTGAGCTGATTGAATCTGATTTGGTGTTGGTGTTGGTGTTGGAGGTAGATGATGGTTCAACCCCCGTGCATCCCATAAACTGTTTGAAGGCACATAGACAGGTCGCACATTCGCAGATCCATGAAGTGGCTGTTGTGGTGCAATAGTTGTTACAGGAGTTTGTGCAGGTCTGGATGCAAAGCTTACTTGTCCAGGATGAAGGGTTTCAGGTTTTCCGTATGCCCATCTTTGTTCAGCAGGGCCAGATCTTCCAACTTCCAACATTCCCGAATGGTCAACAGAAGTCCAATTTGACTGGAATGCAGCAGTTTGTATCCCAGGCCCATGAATTTCTTGATTTACTTTTGGTGACGGAAGCTCTAGTACATTGTTATCTGGTCTAATGGGAGGAGCAAAATGGTGCTTTCCAGGGTGACTGAATAAAACATATGGACAATAGTCATGTTTTAGACAGAAATACTACTATATTTTTAATTTTCTACAATATGCTGTTTGAGGAAGGATCTCTACAATATGCTGTTCAAGGAAGAATATACAAAAGGTAGTTCCTAAGGTGACTATGAATCTCTGAGTGCAATAAATTTACAACAGTGGTTACCAGCAATGATGCCGGTCAATACCGAATAATCAACAATCGGTAACTCAATTTTATAGGTACTAATAACTAAATACAAATGCAGAAAATTAAATATAAAACAACGGTTTTAAAATGACAGTGGTCTGGGGCAATGACACAAACCATTGCTAGGCAATAGAGATAAGATTCGGAACCTAGTAATGGGAAGAAATAAATTTCTCCAGAATGAAACGATCTAGCAAGGCTCAATTAGAATCTACTCCTGGTGAATACCTGAGAATGTTTAGCAACATTTTTGTCTTGATGACAATTTTTTGTGAAACCAAAATTTTACTCAGGTTGCCTAGAATTTGAAATATTGACAATTTTCAGTAGCAATGGTTGAAATTTCCTTAAACCTTAAGAATAGACAGCGTCATAGATGAAATATTAAAGTTGTCTATCAGACATGGAGAAACAGAGAGGCATTGAAACCTGCGTCCAAAAATCTAGGTGATAGAAAGGAAGGGAACAATCCGAAAGTAAACACTGCTTAGAAACTATATGCACAAGCAAATGGCAATTTCAAACCTGAATTCTATTTGGAAGAAAATCCCAGGACAATCACGTAGATTCCTGAATAAAGTATTTGCTGTATCTACACTACTGCATTCAACAAACCAATGCGCACCCGTTGGCATATTTGTTCTACTCAATCGGACAACAGATCCTATCTGGTTGATGGCAAGTTTGCAAATATCCAAGAGCTCATCATCTGCGAGACAATTAGGGCTTATATTTGGAAGGTTAATTGAAAGCATGCTTGAGGGTAATTGTTCCTGGTATCTCATAGAAATACCAGGCCTTTGATTTTCAGAACCTTGGGGGTGTGTGATATTATATTTTGCACGTAACTGGAAAAGCAAAGAAGACAACCCCGAAGTCCTTGTCATATAACTGTCAGATGGCTTCTCAAGGTTTCTCTGAGCATGAGGTGATCCAATCATACTATTAGAAGAGTAACAGCTTCTCATATCAGCATGCATTGGTGCAGAAGTAGGTCTAGCACCTTCAGCATGCATCATCAAATTGGTTGTACCTACGCTTGATGGGGGCAGGATAAAGTTATTATTTCCCTTACGATGCCATTGCATTTGAACCATGGAAATAGTAGCTTCTTCTGGTGAGTCAAATTCCATCAATAATGCACCTTCACTATTAAGATCAGTGACCAAGCGAGGGCCCTTTTGAAGTACTTTCTTAACTTCATGCATCATCTCATCCTTGGCCCATTTGCCAGGAATATTTCCAACATAAACATGACAACTAGAACCAATGGCCACACCATCTATAGCTCCTTTAGTTCCTAATCCTATATCCAGAAACTTTACCCGGAGGCACTCACCCCAGGGGGAACGTCCTTGCATGACTTCCCTAGCTTTCAAAGCATTCATAATGTTTGTGTACTTGACGAAGGCAAATCCTTTAAATGGAAAATAATGTAATTCATCTATGGGACCAAACTTTTCAAATTGAACCCTAATAAGCACTTCGGATGCATCAGGGCCTAATGATCCCAACCATAGTTGTTCTGAAGCTGGAAATATAGCCACGGAGGCTGGATCTCCATCAGAGTACCATGTCACATGGCTTGCTGACGGATGAGGTGGTGGAGGATTATGCTTGGAAGATTCAAAAGAAGAATTCGCAGGTCCAGTAGGGGATCTTAAAGAAGGTAATGAGGGGTTCAGATTAGGACTCAAACTCTTCTCCACCTGCTGACTATTGCTTATGCCATTGAATGAATTGCTTCTGAAGTCCAATGGTGTCCTTGTTCTTGTTCTAGGTGAGAATGAGTGTCGTTTTAACAATTCCCTCGGCACAAAAGTTCTGGAACTGGATAATTCTCCAGAATCTCCAGATTGAAAATTCATGGACTTTGATTCTACTCCATCAATGGGATCAGTCCCCTTATTATTCAAATAAATGCCTGTAAATTTGTCTGGACAATCTGTTACAAGAGCTACAGAAGAAGTTCCTTGTTGACTAGGTACTCTAGGAATTAGGTACTGACCAACATATTTAGGTGGACTGGAAATATCTTCATTGCCATCTACAAAGTCATTTGCCTTGATCTGCTGTGCAAAGGAATCAAGCACTCCTTCCAGAATACAGGTAATGCCTGAAACAAGTTCAGAAGAAGCAGATTTACATAGCTTCTTGTACCTTGAAAATATCAAACTTTTGATTGATAGATCTTTATCAAGAACCTGCACAATAGAATCCACAGGTAAATAAATAAAGCAGCTGAAGAGGCACTGAAGTAAACAACCTTTATCTACTTCAACCACGTGCGTCCAGGAAGTTTCTGAAACTTAATTAAGCATTTAATTGAAATGGACAAGCTACCAAACCAAATCAACAGATAGTAAAAAGAGATCTACATAACTGTCGTATGTGATAGCAAAAAATATCCCTGCTAATCGTGATAGGCTAATCATTCTTTCATGAATCAACAACAGACTTTGATATCTGAAAATGCTACACCCCTGAATAATATATAAGGAGAGCATCATGAATCTACTGCATACAGTTTATATTTTATTAACAAAATATTATGTTAAAAACACCTATTTATGACAGCGCTTTTTATCTCGAGCATTCCTGCCAATCCAACCAGACTTAAATTACATGCTTATGGTCCATGGCATCATTTTTGGGTATGATACACTTGGCAGAAGATTATGCTTTAACTTTTCACTCTGTATGTTCGATAGACATAAAATAGAAGCGAACCTATAACCAGCACCAATACTAATTTGCACGCATTACAAAGATAAACATTTAAATACATGAAAGTCAAATGTAAAAGGTTGATGGTTAAAATCTGTTTATAGCATCAGCTTCTACAATATCTTAGTTATGATGTTAATGGTGGTGGGCTCGAATCAAACTTGGACTGCCAATTACTTTAGCCACTAATACATCCTTCCTAGAGAAAGACAGCTCATGAACATCTATAATGCTGCTGCTAACTACAGAAAGGACAATAGCAAACAGAATCTTAATCTCCAAACTAAAAGCAGCCCAGGGCCCAATGTATACATCAGTTAATTTTCTCTGAGATTTCTCTCAAAAGAATTGGGAAGTTGCATCAACAAATAAATAGAATATAAATAACATAATTGTACACCAGATCCAACTAAAAGCCTTAGGCAAAGCATCAACCCAAGAACATGTAATGATCTGTGAGTATTACCAATCGCAACAAGCAGCTCTGTGATGCAGGTGAAACGGGTCCATTTTCAACAGTATGCTTGTATTCAGATTCTGTTTCAGTGAAACATATGGATGGCTTAGCTCCATCCAGATGATGACGACCAATATCATTCAGCTCGCTTGTCAACTGATGAAGAAAGTAATTCCCTTTTTGCAGCCCCTCAGTTCCAGCTGACTCAAAGAGATCAAAGCAAGCTCCAATTGAATTTTTAGGGCAACTGAAGTAAATTTTCAGAAAACTCAGTGCACGTAACTTGGATAGTTTGACCAAGGCAGAATTATCTTCCTCCAAAAACTTTTGCTTGAACTCAGAAAAGGATTCTGTAACATCATGAATCTGTAAAACTCTCTGGTCAATAATCTCAAAGATATCCTCTCCCTCTAATGAGGATACAAAGAAGGTAAAAACATCAAGAAAAACTGCAGAACAAATCCCTTGAATAACTGCTGAAGTAGGAGCCTCAGAAGCCGCAATTTGACATATATCAACTAGGCCAAAAATGCAAGTCTTGGCAGTCTCAAATGCAACAGCATCAGCATCTTCTCCCCTACTCATCATTGTGAAGGAAAAATTATACATATTTATGACAACCTTTGTAGCGGCTTCAAGAGCAGTAGGACAATATGATGCATATCTGGGAATGTACTCTGCTACCAGGCGTTGTACGCTTGCACCACCTGCAAATAAGGGGTCATGTCCACATCTCAGATACTGAGTATATGCACCACATTTGAAACACCATTCCTATTGTATGTAAGCCATCGAAGTAATTGCAATTACTTCTCCATATTTGTTGGCATTTTTCAGATTCTCTGTCATGGAAGCAGGTAATCAAGTAAAGGACTTGACATAGTTAAACATAGAGGGCTAGAAGAGCCACATCCTAAACAGTTATTTAGATCTCTTACAATGAAAATACTCAAAATCAAAAGTACAACTCAAAACTTTTATTTTCAGTGTCATGGGTAGGGCTATCAACAAATTGGATTTTGATCTAAATCCAATAATCCGTTAACTAAATAGAGCAAATATGGATATAAATCCCGATAATAACCCAATCCGATTAGTTATAATAATACAATATATTTCACATATTATCGCATAATTTATTAAACATAATTTTTTTTTTTTTCATTTGAAACTTGTATTATACTTTATGGCTTTCAATGAAGAATGCCAAGTTGATCAAATTTCAATATAAAATTATTATTTATTATAATTAAATTTTGTATTGAAATTGAGAATCCCCTCTTTCCAATGAATAATGAATATGTGAAATAATTTGGATGTGAGTATTGGATTGGATCATAACATAGCAAATTGAATATGGAATTAACAATCAAATATTTATTGGATTATCAGATCGGATTGAATCCATAAATTATTCTTATCGGTTCGGATCGGATTGAAAATGGGCAGATCTGGTCCATATCCAATCCATATATAGCCTTGGTCATGGGTACAAGTTGGCATTGGGGAAGCAATCAACATCTCCCTTTCTTTCTCTCAATTCTACATCACTAGCCATTACAAAACTTGAGCTCATCCAAGACTTGCAACCAAAACTTTCAAAGATAAAAAATCAGCTTTTGCTCTAAACTTAATTAAATTACTTAGAAGTAGGTTTACTAGAAAAACCTAGACATTTTTTATGTAGAACACTATCGAATAAGAATGAGGAAGAGATAGGAGAAAGAGAAGTGGAAAATAGAGAGAACTTAGAGGGAGAAAATAACAATTTATTCAATATCAAAGTCTACCTATTACTATGCATAAGCTACATTTACATAGATGTTTAAACTAGTCGTAGGAATATACTACGAAATCTATTAAATAAAATCCTAATTATGTCCCCCCTAAAATAAGTATCCTACTTGCAAAGTAAACGACTAATAAAATACTAAAAAATTTATTGAATACAACCCTGTTACATTTCCAAAAATAAGTATCTAATTTGGAGAATAAATTAAATAATATCTTTACAAGAATTCCCATCACATTTCTTTAACCAATTTAGACTAATACTTGTCAGAATTCAGTCTCAAATGTAGTCCTCATATTCTCAAATGGGCCTTGTATTGTTATATTTCCTGTTAACCAAATTTCTCTCTTGATAAATTTCGGGGCAGGGTTGATAAGAATAATGGAGGACCGGCTAACAAGGATCCTTTACGTGTTCCTGATTGACCAATAACGCAATAACAAGATCAAGGAAGCCATACAAGGACTTGTCCAAGATACGCTGACTGAGAGTTCAAGTGCAACAAGCAAGACACCAAGTTTCAAATTAAGCATGAAGGAAGGACCAACCTTAGCATATTTGATTCAAGGAAGTGAGTGCACGAGTGGGTTTAACAGTGACGAACCGCCATAGTCCACCCATAGGGACGCTCGTCATACCTGACTAGTGAATTTTAGTCATCCAGTTTCTTTCAAACTCTATTTTATCATGTATTTTAGTTGTTTTACAATTTAATTAGAATTTTTAGCCCCATATATAAGACATATTCATTGTACAAACAATAACAACACATTATTTTGAGAGAGTAACTATAAAGTGAGATTTCTGCTTTCAATCTTGTTCTTAATTCAACTATCCAAAACTTATCAAAGATTTGCAATCTTTGTGGCGTTCAAGCATTCCAGCGTTGGTTCTTGATTCAAAAAATTATTGGGTCAAGGTTCTTTTTTCGATTTTAGCTTTCCTTGGTTCATATCAAATCTTTCGTGGATTCCAGGGTACACATCCTGTAACGGGGTTCACATCAAGGGTTTAGGACTTAACATATCTCACTTTTCTATTTATGTATGCACTTTTGCTAACTTCAATGACCAATAAACAATCCTTTGGATTATTTGATATTTCAAGAACAAACATGTTTTGCAGAATCATAGCTCCTTTTCAAAGTGTTTCTTCTTAGTTTACCTACAAGCAAAATGATGCATACGAAACACAAGGTGATAAAATTTATGGCTCAATTGTTGCATCAGAAAAGCAGCAAAGGCGAAATCATGCACTGCGTTGAATTCACATTCAAAGGAGGATTCATGGAGCATATCTTGGCATGGATGGAACGTATCATATACTAAATTGAAGCACGGGGTTGGAACATGTTTTGCCTTAGCACTTGCTTATTTACCTTATTTGTTTATCATAGTTTGCAAATCATTGTTTGAAGCCTTCTAGCTGTGTGAAGCAAGCAACATTTTTTTTAATATAAAATAGATGTATTCTGGCTTGTCTCTGATTCTTAGTCGATTTCTTAATATTCTGAAACAACGAGAATTTCGAGTGGTCACATATTTAATTCCTTATTTCATTGCATCCTATTGATATCAGAGCGATGGCACTAAGAACACAACTGCCAGCATGGCACTTTTATTGATGGAATACAGCACAACAAAGGAATGGCACACATCAGTCAATGTATTGATTTGCTACATATCAAATAATTGTGATGACAACACAACAATAACTGTGGAGGGTTCCTGGGGATGTTGGGCACCAGTAGCCAGTGATCGGACCAGCTGCAGGTGGTGCCAAGAAAGGGTGAGGGTGTAGAAGCGTTGCACATACAGGGGGCAACAGGCAGCCAGAGCTTTCTTGAGCTTGAAGCCACAAGCTGCGTGATGAGCAAATGGTATTTTCATGAATCTAATTATGAAAAGAATTTGTTTGCTTCTCTTGATCCAAGGCAGTGGGTTGGGATGATGATGATGATGATAATCATGGCTCTGGAAGTTGGTTTCTTAATCACCCAAGGTCTGAGTCAGGAGAAGAGGAGTCCAATTTTCAATGAGTAGCCAATGATATTTTCAAGAAATTCAGTGCAAATGCACCCAAGGTCTGAGGCAGGAGAAGAGTAGTCCAATTTTCAATGAGTAGCCAATGAGATTTTCAAGAAATTCAGTGCAAATGCCAATAATTGAAAAAGAAAAAGAAAATTAGAATGACTGGAAGCAACCCTAGATTAATGCTCTAAGGTTCCACAACACAAATTACCAAAAACATATCTAAAATTGAAACAATTACCTTTATTTCTTCACATTGAAAAATAAAATCTCGTGACTTGTCTATTTTTATTTTCACCAAATATCTTATAAACCACTAAAAAAAAAATCACTAGTCAGAATAATGAAAAATAAAAATTAAAGGATCAAAATTCATTCCAAGAACATTAAACTTCAAAACTCAGCCGAGAATTCAGTAATATGCTCATTAACGTAATAGAGTAAAGTTGAGGTTCAGACCTCTAGAGGCAGCACTGATAAGAGAGAGGTAGGCCTGTTCAAGGTCCGGCTTGAAACGCTTATCATCCTGATTGATGCAGAATTTGATTCTCTTATAGCACTCGTAAACATTTCGAATCTCTTCTTGGCTTCTGCGCCTTCTGAGGATTTCTTCTTGAGACAAAAGCGGCGGCGAGGGCGGTGCAAAGGAGCTTTTCTGGAGTTGCGGATGTGGAGATTGTGGCGGAGGTTCTTGTGGTGATGGGATTGTCTGCTCCTGTGGAGGTTGTGATGGTTCGTGCAGCTTTCGCTTCTTCAGCGGCTGCTCCGCTGAGGCCATGGCGCAGAGAAGGAGAATGAGAAAGACGACTGATTGGCACGTGCACTCAAGGAGCTAAAAATGTAGGGGGTAAATTTCATGCTGGGTCACTGAACTTTTAGAAATATTTCAATTGGTTCAATAAACTTTAATTTATCTCAACTTGGTCAACGCTAGTTTTTTCTTACATTAGCCTTTCTTCTTTTTGTACATAATATAAGATAAACTCATTAAGGATGTATGTCTTCTTTTAGAATTGTAACTGACCTTAAATTGATCGAATTTTGTAGGAGGAAAATTCAAAACCAAATGTACGATCAAATAATCAATCAGCTTAAACTTTAGTGCCTTTAATTTTAAAGTAAGATGAGACATTTCCATGATTAGTGAAACTAAATTCGTCAGAAGGGTACTAATTTGACCTATCACCTTTCGCAAAACGTTTTTGAATTTCTTTAAGAATTTCTTTTACAGTAGTTACCATATCGAAAATGTTTATGAAATTCCAAGCTTCATGATCATAAGACTCGTACGATCTGAACAATTCCACTCATCAAAGTCCCATTTTTCATCCGCAAAACTTTTATCGGCAAGTGTGGCGAGTTTTTTAGTTCTTAATGCAAAGTCTAGATCCATGCAGCTAAGAACGTTATGAACATTATCGTTTCAATCTTTAAAGTTAGTTTCATTAAGAACATGAATAAATTGACGTTGATAGATATTATTGAACTAGATGAATTAGCATAATAGAGAATGAAAAACCAAAATTACATATTCACATGTGAATTCGTATTATTGGTGGGCCTCATCTCATGAGACCAAACACAAACATTCCTTCAGATGGATCGATATCCGCATGAATTACATACATAGAACCATCTTGATATTCCAAATAAATCAATTTACACAAGAGAGGTTATTTTGGCAACGTATTACTTCAAATAATCTATTTTAGAATATTAGCTATTCGAAAGAAACCAATTGTACCAATTTGAAATTGATTTGTCACTAATATTTTTCCTCCAAAATTTCATGTTTTTAACTAGACTATACCATTGCACGAGCACCTACGGCTATCGAGGGCCAAAATTGCTTCTCGAGAGCCAACTTGTGCCCAGTGATTTGTGGGATTCCTAATCTTAGTGCTCAAGAGGAGAAACAACCCTGTCACTCGAGCGATAGGATTGCGACTAGCAAGCGATCGTTCAATGTTCTGTTTCTCGAGATTGGTTATTGCGGCCCTTTCGACCTATTTTAACTCTGAAAAATTCTCAAAAAATATTAAATTTGAAATTTGGTGCTAAAATTCGCACCCTAAATTTAAAGAATTGCAAAATCCAACTTATCAATTTTAAAACTTTTGAATCTTAAGAACTTCAAAACTCTTTTTATATTGAAATCAAAATTCTCCAAGTTAAGTCACCAAGAGAATTATAAAGTTTAGAACATACCTTGATCCATTGGGAATGGGTTTGATTACTGGATCTTGAATTGCGTGTTCTTGATCTTCCTCTTCAGTATGCTTTCTTAGTTATTCTTGTGTTGATAGAATGACACAAAGAATAAGAAGTCACGTACGAATTGAGGACTATAACCCTATATATACACTTCAACCAATCACGAAATACAATTCAAAGGAATCTGGTCTCTATACATATTTAGGTCCATACCACATTTTGATACCCAAAGCTCAATAATTTTAATTCTTTATTAGATCAATTTAAATTAGCTTAACATTGAGATAGCCTTTAATACACAATTAATTAGCTCACATGATAAATTAAAACTCAACATTTTATATATATTAATTTATATTAAACCAATCTGTCTATCAAGTGTAAACAATTTTTAAAACATTTTCACACAAACATGTCAGTCGATCGGGTTAGAAACCAAGCATGGATACTCTATATAGGAGAAAATATGATAAGCCATAAAATTGAATCATAATGATGTTTGCCATTGCAATGATCGTTCAGTATGTCAAGATTCATTATTAGTGGTTTACCAGTTCAGAAGGGAAACCCGAAGAGCCATAAGGTTACCAGAACTTGTTCTGTTAAACACTTTCTTTCTAATAAAATCAAACATTTGCCCAAAATCTATTAGAAAGAATTATCCCAAAGGCCATATTTTATTGTAAAATTTCCGAATCTTGGAACCGAAGTTTTGTTAAGAGATTTCAAGGCAATGATATTAAAGCCCATTTTGGTTTAGCTAAAATATCTAATTAAAATTTATGTTAAAGTCAACAATTAATTTGAACTATACGTTTCATAGAACTCACAGTTTTTTAATCATACATTCAATTAACTTTTATCAAAATCGACTAAAAATATGAATTTTATCTGAACCAAATACGGGCTAAAATGGATAAATTCCCATCTCAACCTTCTAATTTAAATGCAAAGAGAGTTTAGTGAAGAGACAATTAGAATTTAGAAGATTAATTTAAATGGAAATCTTTTGAAAGTCCTTGTGAATTCAATCAAGTGTATAGAGGTAATAGCTTATTTAAATATCAAAACTATACTTCAAGAATGATTACAGATCTCCCCTGTTAATTGAAATTATAGCACGTATATTCCTAACCTAATTTTTGGACGAAAACCACCATTAGGGACCAAATGTGCTCATTAATGATGATGGAAGCTTGATGATGAATTGTGATGAAAAAGTTAGGGATGTAATTGTGATAATGAGTAGATGTTATGAACTTTTTAAACAATCAAAATATGGTGCACTTAAGAAAAAATGTGGTGTCAATTTATTTTACAATAAAAAACTCTTTTTTAGCTATAAAGACAACTTTATCTTATATATATATATATATATATATATATTTTTTTTTTTTTTTTTTTTTTTTTTTTTTGACCG